CCAACTTACAGCTCATGGATAATTTATGATCCCAACAGAGAACCTGGAAGTAGTTGGGAGGGAGGGGCACTCAGGGGGAGGCAGGACCAGGCTGTGGATAAGAGAGGCCAGTGGGAATGGGAGTGTGCATGAGAGGTCAAGGGCTTCCAACACCAAAGATTCCTCCAAGTTTGAGGATACCAATGTATTAAAAATAAATAATGCCGAGATGCTGGAAAAAGCTGCTAAAGGTTAAAGTCATAGGACAAGCATTTTCTGACTCCGAGGCCTGACCCTACGTCTATGATGGAGGGAATAATCTCATTCCATCCGAGATAAGAAAAATATGTAATGGTTCTGTGTGACCATCAGGCCCTCAAATCATCCCCCTACTCCACGCTTGGGCAGGCCAGGGAGGAAAGCTAGACTTCACACTTGGACTGGCTAAACCATCCCTTGCCAGCCTCCTCCTCCAGGAAGACCCTAAGAAATTGAGCTAAATGCAAAGGAGGGAGTCAGGCATGGTCACCTCTGTCTTCATCCAAGGAATATAACATTACACCTCTTCCTCCCCCTGCCCCCAATAGCATTTCACAAAACCTAGGCTGGCCTCAAAATTGCTATGCAATTGAGGATCATCTTGAATTTTTTTTGATCCTTCTGCCTCCATCCCAGAGTGCCAGGATTATAATTCTGTATCATCGTACCCGGTTTATGTAGTACTGGAGTTCCAGGTTGTTATGTAGAGTGGAACCAGAGAGTTCCGTGCACACTAAGCAAACTCTCTGAGCTACACCCCCAGCCTCACAGATTCCTTTCTTTTTAAAGGCAAACTTGGGACGGTGACTCCAAATGGAAAACAGCAAGTTCTTTTGGCCTTTGCTTTCCTTATAACCTTAAAGAACTCTTCCAGGTGGTTCAGGGGTTAAGCATATGCATGTGCAGGGGAGGGCAAACAAAGACACCCTCCCCTTGCCTCAGTTTCCCCACCTGAGTCATGGGCAGAATAGGTGCTCCTATACCAAGGGCTGTTTCAAGGGACAAAAGAGATGCTATCCAGGAGCCCTTGGCGCCAGCTGAGACCCAGGGAGGTAGTGATTATGAGGTGATGGGTCCACAGACTGGGCCTGGAATTTCAGTTGCTGCTAGGGTTGCTTCTTATGTCTCCCAGCATACTCCCATTCAATCCCGTCATCTTGGAGCTTGATCGTAAGGGAACCAGCCAGAGCTGTGTGCTAGCCCAGATCAGAGCTGGCCCCGGCCCTGGAGTCTGATCCAGACTCTTAAGGGCTCAGTTTCCCCATCCATGAAATCAGGGGCGTCTTCCAGGGCTGACCTTGGAGAGACTCTGTAAAAGAGGGCCTGGAGGAAGGGCAGAGTGGGGAGATGACGGCCCCCAGGCTTGTGTCCTTTGCTAGTCTGGTAAAGTTATTAGCACCAGAGCCAGCTTGACACAGCCATCTGACATGGAGAAGGGACCCTTCTTTGTTCCCAGAAGAGACCCTATTCTCAGATATGGGCAACACCTCATGAGACATTACGGTTTCGACCTTTTATTTTTAAATGTAGAAATTGTAATATGTGTACAGGTGTTTTGTCTGTGCACTGCATGTGTGCAGTGCCCACAAAGGGCAGAAGGAGGCAGAAGACCCCCTAGAACTGGAGTTCCAGGTTGTTGTACAGAGCTGCCATGTGGATGCTGGGAGTCAAACCTAGGTCCTCTGGAAGACCAGCCAGTGCTCCTAACTGTTGAACCATCTCTCCAGCCTCTTTAAGTATTCTTTTCAAGGCTGATCCTGTCATAGTGGATTGTCAGTACTAATAACATTAATGCCATGAAAGTTGTAAGCAGCCCCCCAGTACTAAATTAGACTGGCTAAAAAAAAAAAAAATTATTTCCAGGCTAAGAAAGTTTATTCCTTTTGGAATTTACTGGAATTTGGGGGAGCTGATGGGACCACTCTCTCAGGATTCAGGAAGCTACTATATCCTGAGTCCCCAACAACCCTGTTGCAGGTCACCTAACAGGAGACCTAAATGTCATGGGCCTGACACCAGGACTCTACTCCTCCCGTCTCTTTATCTTTCCTACCCTTCTTTCCCTCTTATCTTCCCCACTCTCCCTTTTCAATCCCTTGTAGGCTAAACTTAGTGGGGGCTCCATACCCTACCATTCTCCCTGGCACCAGCAGACAGCCCAAAGCCCAGGGCCCGCCCCTTCCTTCCTTCCTTCCTTCCTTCCTTCCTTCCTTCCTTCCTTCCTTCCTTCCTTCCTTCCCTCTGACCATAACACTTCACTTTCCCTTCTCTGAGCATCAGCTGGAATAAAGGGTAGTATCTGGGAGGCATTCTTCATTAGAGTTCTGCTTTCATATGGACAGGAATGTTCTGCATCCAGAACATTTCTGTGGCATCTCTTAAGTTTTGTCTGCCTGTATGAGGTCACATTCTAGTGTTTTTTTGCCCATCCCACACCTCCACCCAGCATACTGTTGAGAATGGAAGAGCTGATGGGGTGTTGTAGGAAGGGTGAGGAAAGGTGAGAGCATCTGGACTGGGTGGGGCTGGGAGAGTGGGCTGGAGGGCCCACGCAGAGACTGGCTGGGCCTCTGTCTCACCGGTTTGGGGAGCCAGCTGGCTGGGCAATGGGAGAGGCTCACATTAGGGAGAGATGGGAGGGGCTTGCAGCTCCCTGAGAAAGGAGAGCTGAGTGAGCCATACTGGACTAGCTGAGAGCCTGGATGGGATTGCTAGGGGTAGGTGGCTACACGTACACATACATTCAGATGCATACTCAAACATAGGCACACACAGAAACTGAAACCCTCCAGCGTTCTGGGTCCCTCCTGCCTGGTCTATTTTCCTATCTAATATATCTAGCATAACCCAATTTTTGTTTTTAGACAGAGTCTTCCTATGTAGCCCTGGCTGGTCTGGAACTTCTGCCTCCTGAGTCCTGGAATACCAACAGTTTATATAAGACCGCACTACTGTTTACTACCTGCCTCCACTGGAACAGAAGCTGGGAGAGGGTGGGGTGAGTGGCCAGTTTTGCTCATCATCATGTGCCTTGCACTTGCAGCATGCCAGGTACATCATAAAAGGTTCTCAATGTGTGGATGACTGAAGCCTTCCCCAAACACACTGAGACACACACACACACACATATATGGACAGATACATACACACTGAAAGACATCTGGGTGCCACAGGCTCACAGCTGCCACAGATAACCTCAGACTTCTGGTGCGTGCACACCCACATACACACACACACACACACACACACACACACACACACACCCCTTTGCACTCTGATCCACAAGCACTTTCCATGCCCACACCCAGCAGTCCAGATTCCAGAGCTGGTACTCACAGCAGCTCACATCTGTGCAGACATGCTATAGCCCATCCCGCTCCCTGCACCATTTTGTGCCAGACCTGGAGGGCAGCCCCTCCCTGGAGCAGGGGGTGGGCCGCCAGATGCTGACAGTGCAACAGCCTGGGAGGGGGAGGGTGGAAAGAGCCATCCTGGTACCTGGGAACTGTCAGGAAATCACTCTCCTATGATAGAGATGGAGGTTAGAGAGAAGCTACCAGTTCTCTATCCTGAACCCAGTTCTACCTTTAAAGGCCAAGACTTGGACCAGAGCCTAGGGAAGAGTTGGATATCAGTCCTCTAGGTGTGTGGGTCCCAGGACAGGACATCTGACACCTGGGACCAGGGTGTGGCAATGACAACTGCATGTCCTTCCCTGGGTCAACTCCACCCTCAAGAGGCCTCTGTCCCCTGGAACTTTGTCGAGGAGTAGAGTCACCTTCTTGGCCTTTGCTCTGTGTTTCTCTTGAAAGTGCCCCCTTTGCCCCTAACTCCCTGCAATAATGGCAGTAGGAGAGACAGTTACAGGGCATCTTTGTCCCTGCTCCTCCAGACTCCTGTCCCCCAGAGCCAATGCAAGGCTGGACAAGTGAACTCTGATGGTCCCACTGCATTTCAAGAAGTCCAAAGTTTTCAAACCATTTTCCTAGGGCTCCTCTGGCTACTGAGCTGGAGGTCCAGCAACAGCCAGACTGGGCATGCTTGCTCTAATTCTAGGGAAATTCCTGGAAAGAAAAACATGTAGTAAATGTCTTTAAATCCCCTCTTCATATAGCTGTAAGCCCCAAGAAGAATGAACTGGAACTCTGAAAAACACAGACAGTCCTGGTGAGAAATCTGAAGCCCACTGTCTTCTGAACACAGCAGGGAGTACTGTGTTTTCATGCCCCCTGGTGGCAGGTCTGAAGTTGCACACAGTTAAGAGGAATCCCCTGTTCTCAGTCAGATGACAGGGTTGTAGAGGGTGCCAAGGCCACAGGGTACACCAGCTGGCATTATATAGATAAGGAAGATGGGAGGAGGCAGAGAGGCAAGTACCTGTACCCACACAGCTCAACCTTGGGGACCGGCCTCAGGTGCAGTGATTCATTCAACAATAAACATTTATTGAGCACCAGAACTCCAAGCCCCGTGTTCCTCAACCCCCTCTGCAGCTCAGTCAGAGCTGTCACCTGGCTGGCCTTGGTCCTGTGAGACTCAAGCCAGAAGCTGAAAACTTCCTCAGAAGGATGTCCACCTTGGAGCAGAAAGGGGGAAGAGCGACTCCCACCAGCTCACTTGCCAACTAGCAACATGGCCACCATTCTGCAGTGTAAGGGCACAGAGAGGCAGGATAGAGTCTGGATGGGAGCTAGGCCAACTATGTCCCTTTTAAGGTTTTTCTTTTCGTTTTATTTTGAAACAGGGTCTCACTATGTAGCCTCAACTGGCCTGGAACTCACTATGTGATCCAGGCTAGCCTTGAACTCACAGAGACCAGCTGCCTCTGCATTCCAAGTGCTGGAATTAAAGTCCTGTGCTACCACACTCAGATGTTTTTGTTTTGAAACAAGGTCTCACTTTATAGCCTCAACCGACCTGGAACTGAGATCTGTCCACTTCTGCCTCCCCTGGGTGCTGGTGTCAAAAGCATGTACCACCACTCCTGGCCATTTTTAAGTTTTAATAAATAGTTCTTGCTCCTAGCCCGGTATCCTGAGTTTGAGGGGTGCACCATGTCACCGCTCTTTTTATGTTTTTTTTTTTTTCTTTTTGGTTTTTTGAGACAGAGTTTCTCTGTGTAACAGCCCTGGCTGTCCCGGACCTCTCTTCTCTCTGTAGACCAGGCTGGCCTCGAACTCACAGAGATCCGCCTGCCTATGCTTCTCAAGTGCTGGGATTAAAGGCGTGTGTCACCACTCTTATGCCAGTTCAGGCTCCGGCTCTGAAAAGGAAGGAAAGAGCAAGGAGTTAGTCCTGCCCACGCCAACAGGTGTCTACAGACTGAACTAGCAGGAGTGTAGATCTCTAACAGGCTGCAACACCCTAGAGCAGGATGGCAGCGTCCACCCACACTCCACTGACACGGCAGCCCAGGGAGAAGCCCTGTCCCTAGCACCCATCCCAAACTGTGCTCTTAACCCCTTTTCACAACCCATTGCTGACTGACCAGCCTCAGCCTCATCGCCCTTGGCGTCCGGCTCCTGCCACCAGTCTGCATAGAGGCCCTCCTCATAGTCGCCCTCCCCTTCAAACTCAGCATCAGACAGGGGTTCTTCTGTCTCCTCCAGTTCATCCAGGGGTGATTCTGTCTCCTCCAGTTCCATCTAGAGCAGCCCAGAGTTGTGGGGGAAGAAACTGAGTAACAGCAGGCCCACATCCTTATAGGTTCCCCTTCAGATCAGAACACCCCCACCCCATCTTTCAGCCCCCACACACTTCAGCAGGTTCCCTGTATTATCTTGGCAGGAGGTGAGCAGGCAGGCCTGAAACCCCCTCCCCAGTGTCAGTGTCTAACATGAGGGCAATGTCAGGGTTTGTCCTGCTGGGTCCCATTCTGAAACTGCTTCCCTGAGTGACACTTGGGGCCCCACCAGCAGAGGCGGGGTGCTAGCGTCAGCATGGCTTGCACCACAGCCCCACCTTTGGCCCCACACCCGGTGAGAACACTGCTAGTCTGAGCCTTTTGTCTTCTGGCTCTGCTCCCCTGCCAGGAATGTCTTTGCAGCCCTGACCTGGATGGGCCTATGGATTCTGCCAAAACCACATGTCCACTCCAGGCTGAGGCTTTCAAACATCACCCTAGCTGGTACCCACACTGCCTCTGCAGCTGCACAGTTTATGCCTCCCTCATGAGAACCTCTGGGAGACAGACTGTTCCTCTCAGCCACTTACTGCAACCCAAGCCTGATGTCTGGCAAACAGGAGACCAAAAGTGACAGCCATCAAAACTGCTGTGTGTCCTGAGCATCTACTGAGCGCCAGTTGCATACTTGGTGCTTTAAATAATCTCATTTAATCGTCACCACAATAAAAGTCAAAGGGCATGCTCCTCAGTTGATGGGTGAAGGTGTAGGACTTTGCTAAGTTAAGACCAATCGATCGCTTAGCACCCATCTGGCAAATGATAGCTGGATGAACAGCACCTAAGCCAGCCATGTGTCACAATGCGGACCCTGTTTCTGAGATCCCTGAATGTGGAGTACAGGTGAATGTACTGAGAGGGTGAATAAACAAGCTGCATAGCAATCCCCCAAGAAACCCCGGCCCCAAACCCTCACTCCCAACTGGTGCACACTATGGCTCTTCCCAGCATCACTCACTCACTCATTCATTCATTCAGTTATTTGTTCACTGGCTCAAACACAGTTCCTGAGAATGGGCATATCGTGAGGTTCTGTAGCAGAGCGGGGGATAATTTAGTCTCCTGTCCCGGGATGCAGCTGTCACCCGGCCATCTGGCCATGGTGAGATGGATGAGGACTATGAGTAACTCATATGAGGTCTCAGGCTAGGTGGCCAGGCAGGTGGGGAGACCAGGGTTGCACCAGAAGAAGGCCAGGGCATACAGCAAGGGCTCCCTAGAGGAGCTACCATTTGAGCTGGGCCCAGGAGGTATAGACCTGGGACAGGCAGAGAGAGAGCTGTGGGAGCACTAAGGTGGTGAGAAAGAGGAGGTACAGATGGGGGACAGGAAAGTCCTGCTTCACAACAGTGACCTCAGGAAAGAGCCTAACGTGTCTCCATCATGGTGCCACTCACCTCATCATCTGACTGAAGGTACATGTGTGTGAACTCCAGTAACTCCCGGAGCTCGGAGGTCTGGTTGTGGTAGAGCATGGCCTCCTAGGAGAAGGGAAGGAAGGAAGGACAGAGTGAGGAGGTGGACCCTGCTGACAGATGGCAAAGACAGGGCTCAGGGCTCAGGAGGAAATGGATCAGCTCACAGAATAACCCTAGCTACTTGGAACACTGGATTAAGAAGGATTCTGAGGATTACAGGAGAAGACCCATTAGTTATGTCTGCCATAGGCATGGAAAGTGGGAATGGCACCATGGGGCTCATATTTGCCAGTCTTGTCCTAAACTGCCAAGGGGTTTTCTCACTGGTTCAGGCTAACAGGCCCCTGAGGAGGGAAAGCTCAAAGGACAGCACTGAGGTGAGAGCAGGCATGTGTGGGCACCTATTTGCATCCCTCCCACATCCCAGACACTATGCTGAAGCCTAGACTCTAACCACAGCCCATATTTATCCTTCCCCTTCCTCTCCAGCTTTCCAAGGAAGTCAAGAGGTTTTGTTTTCTTTTGTTTTTTTTTCTAAACCAAACCACAAAACTGCACCTTAGGCCAGTGCCTCACTACAGGCAGTTCCCACCTCCCGGGGCTGGAAGTCCTCCTCTTCAAGGCCCCAGCGAGCCCGGTGGAAGCGGTAATACACCAGGTTCTGCTGCATGACGCTGTCCTTGGGGTCAAAGAGCATGTAGCTAGCAGCACTGCGGGCAGCCTGGCGCACATCATTCACTGCAGGCAGGACAGAGTAAGGGGTAACCCCGATGTTTCCTTTAAAGGCAATCCACTCACCCCATCTCACTCCCACCTTCCAACCTAGCCCGCTGCCTCTACCGCCAGACACCTTCCAGAATATCTGCTGGCTCCTCACCCCGGCCAAAAGACCACAATTCAACAGGCCCAGGGTGTTGCCCTGGTGCCAGGCAAGTGTGAGTCACTGGTATCTCAATCATTGTCATTGTGGTTTACAGAGAAAGAACTGGAGGCACAGAGGGGCTAGATAAGCTGCTTATCCTGTTATTGCTGAAGAGCAACAGCAGCTGGGGGCATTAGAGACTCTCAGGGCTCTCGCCACAGCCCCCAGGAAGAGTCTCCTGACCTCAGATCTTCCACTCACAGCTCTAGCCTCTGAAGGATGCATCCCTGAGTGGTAGGAACCTTGGACTGCCCCACTCGAGCCCCAGCTGATGGCACATTCTCTCTGTGACTCCCTAATCATGGAATAATGGGCTCTTGCCCTTTAGAAACCTCAGTTTAATCTGATGAATGGGTCCAGGAATGCCAGTGGCACGGGGCTGGTGGGAGGAGAGAGGTGAGGGCTACATAAACTCTTCAGTGCTGAGCAGTGTCACTGACCAAGTCTACCCCCAGGAGGACCTCTAATTAATTCTTCCATGAGGCCTCTCACCTTTCCCCATGTCCCCTGCCTGGGTTCCTGCCCACATCTCCACCACCCGTAGCCTTTCATCCCCTTCTCCAGAGTCTTCGATCTGAGAGACACCTTCCCACATTTCTGGGAGACATCATGCATTGTCCTTTCCGACACAACCCTTACCCTACCTCACCAGCCCATTCAGGAAGCTCACATTTGTAGTAGGCAAACTGCAGGTAGTGATACATGGTGGCCACAAACTTGTCCACAAAGTAGCCACCTACGTTGGGGATGAGATTGGCTTCACAGTCCACCTTGCACTGTAGGGACTCTGCAAAGAGATCTAAGAAGGATGTAGCAGTTAGGAACTGTGGCACACTAACCCTGATTCCCATGGAGACCAAAATCTGCCTTTGAAGCCTGCTTCCCTGTGCAAGAGGTACAGATTTCATGTGTTAGCCGGGCATTGGTGGTGCACACCTTTAACCCCAGCACTCGGGAGGAAGAGGCAGGTGGATCTCTGTGAGTTCGAGGCCAGCCTGGTCTACAGAGCGAGTGTCAGGATAGGCTCCAAAGCTACAGAGAAAACCTGTATCAAAAAACCAAAAAAAAAAAAAAAAAAAAAAAGATTTCATGTGTTAGCATGTATGAAATGCTTGGCACACAATACAAAATGCTAGCTGAGAATAACTTGCTGCCCCCCACCTTTGTTGCTCAACCTCTATTTGACACCAGGGGGAATTCTGGGAGAACAGCAAGTGACCTTTAGGTGGGACTGAGACCATACAGGATCTAATGTATGTATGAGAGTTTGGTTTTGGATCCTGGAGTTGGACAGTCATGAGCTGCCATGTGGGTGCTGGGAATCAAACACGGGTCCTCTGGAAGAGCAGTCAGTATTCTTAACCACTGAGCTATCTCTCCAACCCTCACCTTCACCCTCTTTGAGGGGCCTTGTGGTTAGGGATCCAAAGACTGGTTGTGATTTTTGCCCCCAACTGCTTTCTGCACACACTTGTCTAGTGTCAATTCTGAATCTTTTTTGTTGTGTCTTTTGTTTTTGTTTTGAGACAGGGTCTCACTATGTAATTATAGGTGTTCTGGAACTCACTATGTAGACCAGTGTTGTGGAATATTACTCTAACTATGTAAAGGTGTGTAACATTTATTTATGCTGCATTTGTTTAACGATGTGTTGCTGTTTTACCATGCTCGCCTAAAGCACCTAATTGGTCTAATAAAAAGATGAATGGTCAATAGCTAAGCAGTAGAGGGACTGGCTGATAGCTAGGAAATAGAGGACATGCCAGGCTGGCAGGCAAAGAGAATAAGTAGGAGAAAACAAAAGAGGAGCTGGGTGTTGGTGAAGCACGCCTTTAATCCCAGCACTCAGGAGGCAGAGAGACAGGTGGATCTCTGTGAGTTCAAGGCCAGTGAGTACCAGGATAGGCTCCAAAGCAATACAGAGAAACCCTATCTCGAAAAACCAAATAATAATAATAATAATAAAAGAAAATGAGAGGAAAGAATGTGGTTGAAAGTAAGGGAGATGCCCAAAGCCAGTCATCCAGACAGCCACCACCCAGTCAGACACAAAATGGGACATACAAAATGAAAGAAAGGTAAAAAGCCCTGAGACAAAATGTAGATGAAAAGAAACAGGTTAATTTACATTACAAGAGCTAGTGGGACAAGCATAAGATAAGGCCGAACATTTATATCTAAGTCTCCGTGTCATGATTTGGTAACTGATTTTGAGAGGTGGTTGGTGGCCCAAAGACCAGACTGGCCTTGAACTCATAGAGATCCACCTACCTCTGCCTCCCAAGTGCTGTCATGAAAGTCGTGCAATACATGCCCCCCTCCCCCACGCCCCTTTTTGAGACAAGATTTCTCTATATAGCCCTAACTGTCCCGTAATTTTCTATGTATACCAGCACTTCTCTCATCAGACTGGAGACAGAAAAGGCCTAACTCATGTGTGTAGCTTCTGAGAACTTCGCTATATCCGCTGAATGCTGCGTAGCCATGTGTTAGGAGGCCTCAGGAGGCCTGGGAAGCAGGGGGCCCTGTGGGTGAGGGATACCCACGGTGGTCTGAACAGGAGATACCTGCTATGGCTGGGTAGAAGTCCTTGAAGTCTACCTGCTCATGGGCCCCCTCACAGCCAGCTAGACACCGAGCGAAGACTGTCATGTACTCTGCCAAGGCCCGCTCCATGTCTTCTGTGCTGCCGCGGAAGTCCCCGCTGTTGTAGAGCTTCACAGCCCGGAGGAACACAGCCTGGAGAGGAGCATGGCACGGGGGAGTCAAGGGGACCCCGGACAACTATTAAGGTGTGTGTTTTGGGGGCGGGGGTGTAGGGAGGCGCGCCAAGGCCAGCCAACCCTCCCACCTCTCCACACCTCGTAGGGCTGGGCCTCTAGGTCCGTAAGGGACTCATCTCCGACATCCAGCATCCCCCTGTAGTAGCTGAGGTACTTGGCGGTCAGCTCGTGCTTGGGGTTCCTCTGGAGGAAAGTGTAGGCCGCAGCCACCGCCTTCTCCAGCCGGTTCGCCTGGTGAGGGGCGTGGGGAGTGGGTCAGTGGGGCGTCGGACGCACCGCCGGCCTCACGTCCTAGGGAAACTCGACGGCGGTCCGGGGCCGCGCCCACCTTGAACTGCGCGTAGTGCAGGTACTGGTAGGGCAGGCGGCTCTGGAAGTCGCGCAGCAGCTGCCTCGGCGGGTAGGGGACCTGGAAGGCGGGCAGCGTCCGCTTGCAGCGCCGCAGGCAGGCGGCGCGCTCCAGGACGTGACCGAAGAGC